AAACTTCACACACACATGGTACATCATGTCACAAATAGATATGTGCATTTGTTTCATGATCTGCTTAACAATAGCATAATGATGGCCATTTTAAGGCCGAAAATGCATCAAAATCACGTATTTTCACAATTCCAGAACCGGATCTCAGTCATGCATGGATGGATTTTGTTCAGATTTAGCACAATGTGTTGTACATATGCAGGTGCATTTCGGTCATGATCTGCTTTGAATGTATATGTCACTCAAATATGAACGGAACGGGGACGTGTCATTGACAATGACTTGTTTAATATCGATGTTAAAGTACCTTAAAATAACGTGTGCCATGTCTCACAACACGGTGGTGGATTATCGGGTATTGTTTTATTTTGCTCTGTCTACAGAATTTATCTGCCGGTATTTTCATTGTTAACACTAGGTGAACAGATGTCTGGAAATATTTGCATATGAATAGAATGTAACATGTGTTATTCAATCAGTCAGCAGAATTTAAATTAGATCTCAACTTTGAGCGCTCTTATGCCACTAAAGATGCATTATATTTGTATTAATTCCATAATATTTTTTGACCAGTTGGATATAATATTCTATTGGTTATAGATTTTGATCAGAATTTTAAAGATAATTATATGGGTTTATTTTGTACCAGGTGTCCATTGTACTGGACCTTATTTTACCACACTTTCATGGCTTCAAATTAAAAAATCTTTCACTCAGCACAAATTTGCATTATTTGTAAGTGTGATGGACCATGTCACAATGTTGCGTCTTATTTCAACCATGCACATTTAGCTTCCAGTGAGTTTTCTACAGTAATAAACAAAAATCTTTCCTCTTTTTTTTTTTTCCAGTATGATAGTAAGCACATTAAGAGGTTGTCCGAAAGATTGACAAATACAATTATGAATGGTTTATCACATGTGGTTAAAAATGGTGATTCACAACACTCCTATCCTGGTTAGTATCTGATTGAGTTGTTTTTGTTTGTCAACAAAATTCTGCTGCGCCTTCACTCCAAAAAGTTTTCTCTGTTCGGGAAAAATGTTAACAAAATATATATTAAACTGCAGAGAACTTCAGTCTGTGGTTTGTATGTGTACTGTGCAGTTCCCTATATCTGTATTGAGTTTCCCAATGCCAGTCTGTCTAGTGGATATACTGTTATAAGTGTGTTTCATACTATTTTTTTTTTTTCAATCATATAAAGCATAACCATTGCTTTCTGTTCATTAACTCTGCAGGTTGTGTTAATCTCTCGTTTGCATTTGTGGAAGGGGAGAGTTTATTGATGGCTTTAAAGGATGTAGCACTGAGTTCAGGAAGGTAAGATTTACTGTTGAATAGTTGCAAATGAATGCAGGAAATTGAACCAGTGATACAAGAGAGGCCATCTTACGTTAGATAGGTTTGGCAGGAGCATGGCAAGTTTCAGGAGCTTCCTTGTGTGCATCTGCAAACAGACTTGATGTTTACCCACTCCACTCTGAATCTGTGCATGATTCCACCAAAAGGTTTGTTGACCTCCGTAAAATACATAGATCCAATTGGAAGTGCATTTAAAACGTGCACCAATCAGATTTGTCCTAGAGTTTGACAGTGGATGTGAAACAAATTGCCAAAGAGGGTGCACTTGAATACGCGCACTTGCTGAATAGAATTTGCCAAGGTATAGTGGTGAGGTGGTCGATGAATTTGCCTTCACCTTCTCCTACTTTTTGTTATGTTGCTGAGTGTGGAATTCTAATGTTTTACATGAAGTCTACACTACATGCTTATATGACATTGTCATCTCTCTGTACAAGTATACCATGCTAATTGGATAAGGATTGGTCAAGCGGAATAAAATGAATCACAATACACAACCACTCAGCTTATGCAAATCACACCGACATTCCACTTTAATGATATCAGTAAAAAGATGCACACAATTTACAACAAACATCAATGTATTTGTTTGATGGTTTTATTGAAAGGTGAAATTGGATTATGAAATGCATATTTTGAAAAAAAATAGTTACGAGTTGCCTGGTAAATTTGCATAAAATTTAGAAGCTTTACAAATTCTTTATATTTTGCTGAGAGTAATATTCAATCAAATAAATGAAAAAAAGCAAACAAAAAAGTGGTACCCAACCTGGTTTCCATGGAAACAGTGCATTTATTTATTTATTTCTAATTTGAAAATTGGTCAAATACATAAAACTGAGGCTCATAATTCATAATATAAATATTTTTCAGACTTTCAAACCACCATTGACAGGGAACTTTCAGTAAACTTGGGAGTCAAAAGTATGTTAGCGCTGACTATCTTTAATATAAAAATTTATTGGTGAATGATATAACGGTGTGTATTTCGTTATTACAGTGCCTGTACGTCAGCATCCCTGGAACCATCCTATGTTCTACGAGCCATCGGTACTGACGATGACCTCGCACATTCTTCAATTAGGTAACAAATGATATTTTGTTTAACATCAATGTTTACTTCAATAATATGAGAAACAAATGATATTGAAAAATGCCTTAGTCTTCTCAAAATTATTATTTTGGTTTTGTTCTTTTCAGGTTTGGTATTGGCAGATTTACAACACAAGAAGAAGTAGATTTCACAGCTGAGAAGTGTATTAAACATGTCAGAGCACTTCGTGAAATGAGGTATATATAATTTTAAATTACTAAGCCGTGTCATTCCAAGACAAATATACGCATGTTCCAACATTAAAATTTTATCTTATATGAGACTATGCCATTGAATGTGGTCTTTTGACATCTCGCTATGAGAAAATTCTGTCACAGAATGCGAACATTTGCACTATGCAAAATGTTTTTCGTTCCCATTTTTGGCTTAAATTTTATTGAGTTGTTACTATAAGCGGAGGAAACATGTATAATAAATAATGAGGGTTATCACAAGAATACCACAAAGTATTAACTCGGGCAGTACAGCATCACATTGACCTTTGCTATGCATTAGTTGATACGATATATTGCTTTCATGCATACTTTTCAATATTCTTGTTTATTATATCATATTCATTATATAAAATCCACGGGTTGTCTGTAAATCTGTTCCTATCACTGAAAGTCAGTTATTTAATTTGGCAAGTGATAGTGTATTCACTGATGCAGCTACAGCATAAATTAGAGAATTGGTATGTTCAACCACTCAGACATCATATTCAAAAAGATTAGTAATTATTCATGTCTGATGAAAGCTGTTTTCGCTCTCATCCTCTCATTTATTTGTTTATACATTGTATCTTACAGCCCACTATGGGAGATGGTCCAAGAAGGAATTGATTTGAAAAACATAAAGTGGAGTCAACATTGATAGATGTAAATTGCCATGGCAACACTGAAAAGCATCCTCATCTGTCTTGTCTTCATCTTGTAGTGATCAGTGACATCAGATTCCTTCTACTATTCTTATAATCTGTAACATATATGTAACTCTATCAGCACTTCAGCACCATTGCGAGATGTTGTTACATCATTAGTAGGCCAGTTTGTCATCAACTTTCTTCGTTAAAAAAAAATTAAAGTCAATTTGAAATTGTCATTTATGTTTTGCTATGTAAAATTACAAAAAAAAATCTTGAAAAATGATGTGTTCAAAGGGTTGTACAATAAACCCTCACTCAGCATGGTTTCATATGTGTATACACACTATGCATACATTCTGACATAATAATGTTATCACAATAGATCCCAAACTAGTGCTTAACTATGAGCACACCATATTTTCGTTGGGCAGGCATTCGCTGGTTAGCAAAAATGTAATCGAATGATATCACAGTGCACCGGCCTATACAAATTAGAGGCTGATTCAGTCATATGCCCTCCTGAGTTCGTGTAGTAGTCAGAATCACCAGAAAGTATCGAAATGGCAAGAGTGAGAATTCTTTAGAAATTTAATGATTCAACAAATATTTTAGTCTAGTGTGGTACTCAGTATCAAAACGTAGACTCGCCGAGAGTGTCAGCATATGAACTTATTTCTATATACAGTATTGTGTTGCTGTATATACATTTTGATTTAGCTCTAATCAGAAATTGGTTATTCCTGTAACTATAAGTACCAGAATACTAATAGTATAACCATTGACTGTAAATACATTTGAAGCTGATATAATCAGTATATTTTTTATTCTCTTTATTTTCGGGAAAGTTGTTTTTCAATGTTTGTATAAATAGCCAGGGCAACTGTAAAATTCTTTAAATATTGGGTAAATTTCGTTGTAGTTGTTCAAAACTTATTTGTTTTGAGACCAGTATACAATTATAGGAAAATCAGTGATTATTGAAATAAATTTGTTGTAGTTTAAAATATTTAATGTTTTTTTTTTCCTGAAATAGCTACCTTCCTAAAATGTTTATTTACATATGTATATTTGGAATTTAATTGGTGCTATGTTTAGATACTGTGCTCAATTAGTACACAGTGGCAGTGGAAGCAAAACAAAATTGAAATTTAAAAAGTGAAAACGAATTTTGAGAACTGGCACTTTTTGATTTCAAAAATATACAGGGTTTTTGACATTGTTTTTAAAAAGAAAACTTTATATTGTGTTAATTTTCAAGTTGCGATGTTGATAATGTATATTCATCGATGCCAGGGTGACTCCCATGCATACTGTGTTCAATATTTGTTTTTAGTTATTTAGTTTTAGTTAATTATTTTCACATTATATCAGTTCAATTCAATAAAAATAAATTCAATTTGTCAACTTTCGTTGTGTAAATTGTTTGATAGTTCTTATGGTAACATTCATTGGGTAAAGCAATGGTCAGCAAATAGAATTTGCATTTATTACAAAGCATTGATTGTATTACTTATGGTTTCAACAGTTGCTATAAGTGCAGAAACCCTCATGCAAGATATTGATATTGTTACCATTGTAAACTCGCGTGAAATAAGAAAAATTTAGACTTTATTCATTAAAAAAATATACAAATCATTTGAAAACCAATGGATTTTAGACATGCATAATGATAATAGAAAACAAACCTTGGCTAAAAACAAACTAAGAACATACAGACTATTTAAACAAGATTTGAAAATTACCTAATTAATATGCATAACCATGGTCTTAGAAGGTTAATTGCAAAATTCAGGACAAGCAACCATGACTTTAAAATTGAGAAAGGCAGACATAATAATGTGCCTCTGGATAAAAGAACATGTGATATGTGCAGCCAAAATGTAATTGAAGATGAGCAACATTTTGTAATGAAATGTCCAGCTTACAGTCATCATAGGGAGAAATTATTCCTGACTGCATAAAATAAAGTTCCAACAACTATCAGTGTATTAGGTTACATTTTGTGTTCATTCTATATTCTGTATTCACCATTGGCTGCAAATTGTCTTTATTGTTTATTCATATTTGTTTTTGATTTGTTTTATATTTTTAGAATTTGTTTTTTTGTTGGTTTGTTTTAGATTATAGTTCTTAAATTTCTTATCCTAAAATCCTAAGGATTTTATGCGTCTAATGAAATATAGTATGTGACCTTCCCATTCTGCACGGGTATGGCCTTCCCTACTCCCCAATCTACCTATGTGATCACACCATTCTGTCTGTGTAGCCTCCCCAATCTAGCTGTGTAACCACCCAATTCTTTTTGTGGCCTCCCCAATATAACTGCGTGAACTCGCCATTCTTTCTTTGGCCTTCCCAATCTACCCGTGTGACCTCCCCAGTCGACCTGTGGTACTACTCCATTCTTTCTGTGGTCTCATCAATCTACCTGTATGACCACCCCTTTTTTTTGTGGCCTCCCCAATCTACCTGTGCGACCTCCACGTTCTGTCTGTGGTCTCGTCAATCTACCTGTGTGACCACCCCATTCTTTCCATGACTCCTCAATCTACGTGCATGACCACCCCAATCTTTCTATGACTCCTCAATCTACGTGTATGACCACCCCAATCTTTCTATGACTCCTCAATCTACGTGTATGACCACCCCATTCTTTCCATGACTCCTCAATCTACGTGTATGACCACCCCAATCTTTCTATGACTCCTCAATCTACCTGTGTGCCCTCTTCATTCTGTATGTCCCATGGTTGATATAATTTTGAATGTTGAAATAAAAAAATAGCACTGAGCATTTTTCGAAAATGTTATGTCAATTAAAATGAAACTTTAAAGTTGCAGCAAATTCATTACAAGATTTGTTTAGATTTTTAGTGGAAATTATAGATTATATATTGTGTACCAGTTTGTCTCGCTCCCTCTGCAGTAACACCTAGTTTCAACTGCCTTCTCCATGATGGGGTAGAAACTAGGCGTTATTACGTCACCTGATTTTATTGTGCCCTCCATTCTTTCTCAGATTATTTATACGGGTTCTACTGTACTTAGATTACTTTATACCATTTTATTAGCTGCAAAAATGTTCATCACAAACCTAATGGGACACTATTATTTTGAGAGTTAGTTTTATTAATATTACCTGCGTAACATAATATTACCATTCCAAATGCAAAAACTTCAGTGTCTGACAATATTTATGATTTTGTGTGTCTCCGTGATTTAATTTGTCCGATTGATGCAGTTATGCCTTGTACTCATTTACCCCTCCAAAATGGAACATTCTATTTATGACCTCTGCTCAGCTGTACTGTAAGTTTGTTTATTTGTGGAGTTACACAATATTTAAATGCCCATTTTATCCAAGACCTGCCTGTGTTATTGTGTGCTTGTGGGATGTTAAGGGTGTATGTGCGTCCACGGTTTTTAGTAACCGTGGTGCGTCCGATACATATGCACGTGCAATCTGTTCATGATTGGGACAAAGATGACAGACATCGCTTCAATTTGTGAATTTAATATTTACTTTTTGCAAATTCTTTCCCACATGCTTTGGGCTTGTAATTTCAAACTTATACATATTAAACATGTATATCGTCCAGGCACTACTTTGGTAGATAGTACATCATGGCATACATACACGCAAACAAACAATAGTATTATGATCAAGGATTTTTTGATCAGGGATAGGGTGTGTGTTATGTTTGACCAGTGGCGGGTCCAGAGAAGGGGCCAAGGGGGCCATACCCCAATCTGATTAAAA